CTCATCATAATACAGATTAATAAAAGTCAATAAAACAAAGAGATCTCCAGTCATCTACTACACAAAGAAAATCTGTCAGTCCAGATGGCACTGTGAGCCTGCCGCAGGACAAGTGCACCCCAGCACATGTTCACATGCTTGCATAAGCACAACAAAACACTTTATTTGCGGACGCTCAAGAGAAGCATTTTGACCTGGGAGCTCTAATTAGAGTCTAAATTAGAGAAAGAACCACAGCAACAATGACTTAACTCCAAATAACTTCACTTGCTACCAACGAACACGTGAAAAAAATGCACCATTATTGTTATGACACATAGTTTAAGTGACTACATCTGTAATGCTCCAGCTGGTAAAACACAGCAGACACCAACAGCCAAAGTCTCGTCAGCTAAAGTAAAATAAATGTTCAGGCGATAGGATAGGTTGAAAAATTCCTGCTGAAAGCTCACAACACCAGGACCTGCGAAACAGCGCAAACTACATGTTTGGGTGTCTGTGAGATGGAAATGTAAAGGAGAGAGACTCGGGTGGACCGGTGAGGGCCAAGAAGCTGTTTGGTGAACCTGTTCCAACTTAAATCCAGCGGAAGTGTCCGTGACACAGCAGCTGGTGTGTGGTTACCATACAGAGTGAGCCTCAGCGCTTCTCAGCTGCTCTTGCCGCTCCATTCATGCGCAGGACAGCCAGAAGACCTGCGGTAACTTGAGCATCAACACTCCTTCTTTTCTCTGTCCCAGACCCGAGCTCACCTCAGACATGTCTCGTCTTTCTGCCAGGGCGTCTCGACTGAGAGGTATCCAAGTGTGTGTGTGTGCGCGTGCACGTTACACCCAACACATGGCATTTATGCATCAGCTTGCAGGTTATTCTGGGATATTTCACTACAATCGCGTGGAAAAAGTCTAAGCTGGGCACCAAGGAGAAGTAGGGAATTACATGTGCTGCTTATCTACACACTCTTCCTGCAGGAAATCAAAACAAAACAAAATCTTCTCCGCTTAAATAATGGTTAGAAAAGCGCTTTGAGGCTGTCATCATCATGAAAATGTAAATAAAACGTCATTTTTTTAAATGCAGTGCAAATATGGATGGTACCCAATTTACAAAACCTTGGCACTACAAAAAAATCAAGACCATGATTAAAGCCTGATTAGTTGCAATCATTAATTCGTTCTCAGTTTGGTGCAGAAATATCAACAGTAGGGATTAGAAGGTCTGTTTTAACCCTTCAAATGCTTTAATTATAAGGTGATTTTAGTTCTGAAATTGGTGTGCAATTTATGCATTTAATTCATAATAAGGGAAGCAATTAAAAAAAAATAATTAAAGACAGTTGTATGAAGGGAAGTATGAGCTTAATGTTCTGCAGCCCCTAAAAATCTAAAAACACACCAGATATAAATTTGGCTGAACTCCCCTTCGAGGTTGTGTTCTTGTACCTATCCCGATCACATTAGCGCGGTGGCTTTCTTTGGATGCGCCCGCTCTTACCACCTGCACTTGCCTTTCCTTGGACTTGCTTAAACAAACAGTATTTCAACAAACAGTCCAGTTTTCAAGCCTAAAAGTCTAACATCAGGTAAAAATAGCAGAGAGGATGATGCCCACACGTTCTTGGCATCCTCCAAGGTCAGCCAGTCCACTATTAAAGACCATGAGATCTACTATAATGTCTTGATGGCCAATATTCAAGGGGAAGGACCTGGATTGTAACGCATATGACATATGCATGGCACATGGATCTTAAGTCTACCAGCTCTGCCTTCCTGCAATTTCCATTGTTTTCCCAAAAATTAAATTCAAGCTGAATGACTGCTGTTTTGACTGCAAAAGATATCCAGCAAACAAAGGAACAAGTGGAAGTGGTCATAACAAGACTGATATTTATCCAGAGGTGCACATGTGGAAGACCCTGAAGGGGAGGACGGCCAAAATTCGAGTCAGGTATGGTTTTTTGGCCATTAAGGGAGCAGTCCTAGAACTTTTTGATCTTTATGCTTCATCAATAAGATGTAAACTGCACTTGTAACTCAAGCCACATGAAGCACAGAAATGTGCGACTTGCATTCAAGTCTTTGTAAATATCAAACAACTATGTGCAAATGTACTATTGCATAAATGTGATCAAGATTTTGGACAGCAAACCTCTTTACCATCAAAAACACCCACCCTTTTTTGATATCTAAAAAAAGGGTTCAAGTCAAAAGCTTAATATCCAGTAATTTATCATTTCTACAATTCCTCCAATCCAAGTCATCCAAAAGTGGAGAACCTCCCGATTCAAAGACCCGAGGAGCTGCAGCGGCTTTTGTCTCTGGGCACTACCAGGATCTCGTCCCCGTCTCGAATGCCGTAGGAATGCAGGGCCCGGGTGCCGCACTTCAGCTCCTCGGGTCCAAATATTGAACACATCTCTCGGTCGATGTAGAAGAGCCTCATCCCATTGGGCAGCTGCAGCAGACCCTTAAGGTGTTTTTTTAGGTCACCCACTGTTTGCTCCAGACGCAGGCTGACTGTCTCCACCCTGTCACCCCAGCGAACAACCACCATGGTGAGGCGGGGTCTCAGGTCTACCTCAGCCAATGGAGCCAGGTGGCCATATTTGGACACAAGGATACGGTACCTGCAACAAAGCAGAGCTCGTGTTATTTTTTTATTTGTTATCAGCTCAACTGAATGACATCAGATACAGCATACAGCAAAGACACACAAACTCCTACAAGACATACACTTGAAATCCACCACACAAAGTATGGTGTTTCTCAGACATGGCAGTGATTACAGTCTCTGAAAAGTGAGGCCCTTGCAAAGTATCTCAGGGTGTTTTAACACTTCTAGTTTCTTTAGTCTTAATCAGCTGATGAATTTGTAAACTTGTGGCTTTTACTCATGGCTTTGTTTCTTTTTACAGAGAGAAAACTCCAAGTCAACCAAAAATGCATCACCACAAACCATGGCAGAGCAGGCATTCTGCTTATTGGCCAATGAAGGGAAATGCTGTCTTCTGGACCCTTGGTTTATTCCACAGCTAGCTGCTACAGTTTGAGCTCTCTGCATGTGTATGGTGTTCTGCCACATCCTAGGATGCAAAGCACATCTGACTACGAGGAGGCATTTAGCACAAACTAGCAGCGCACACCTGGTAGTTAGGGTTGGATGGAGGTCAGATTATGTTCTGGCTATAAATTAAATTAAAAAACGACCAGAATTTGATTTACACGGCCTAAACAGTGCAGGTGTGAAAAATCCCTTAAATTTTCATTTTTTTATAATTGCAAGGAGGTAGTGATATCTATGACTGCAAAAAGACTGGTAGTATACGAGTCTATGGGAAAACAGCCCTCAGGCCTGGCCTCTAGAAACACTTTCCTGCCAAATTCATCCACTCAGTTCAGGTCTTTCTGAATAAAACATTAAGACCCTTTTATAAATGCACCCATTCTAAGTTTCAGAAAGGAGGATTTTCCAGGGTATGCTAACCGCTAACTAGCTCATTATATACATATAATTTTTGAATATTTGCCAAAACTTACTGAAAAATGAGTTTGTCAGACATGTCTGCATGTTATTCTACGAATATATGGAAAATAATAAAAAATAATCATGATAACACATAATGGCGTTTTAAAGGTAGACCACAGTGTCTCTTTGCCTTTTTCCCTCCCATTGTTGCTATGGTAAATAACATACCCCCTGTACCAATGATAGGATGTAGACTCCTGTTTTAAAGGCTTCATTTTGACATTAAAAGAGCAGCTTGGTCTACGGCTCCACCCTGCCCTCTGATGGAAAAAGATTATCAGTCACAATCACACTGTGTTTTAGCACTGATTTACTCTAAATGGAATCAAAATCTAGAAATTTAACAACAAGCTGTACAAAATAACACTTAAAACTAAAGACAGAGATGATAAAGTCATTGTGAAAATGCTTCATGAGGTCATGAATCAAGTTAAAAGCAGGGCAATCTTCTTATAGACTTGTATGGGACAAGACTTCTCTTTGCGCCCTCTGCTGGCTGTTATGAAGAATGCAGGTAAAAGGCTGTTCAACACTGGCTTCACTTTTCAGACTCACAGGTTATACATCCTCTTTTTTTCCTTCTTAGATGAAGTACAGGTGTGAAATAGAAACAGCAAGTATATTTAAGATATATTTTAGATTTTTTTTAAAAAGACTTTAAACTCAGGGTTATGGAAACAAGCTATGAGTGTTTAAGAGGCAGTGAAACACCGAGTTGTCTGCCACTTGCTTGCCGTGAGAAAGCTCTCAGCCATCTCAGGGGAATGCGTGTTCGAGATAAGGCCCCAGCAACGATTAAATAAAATCCAGGAGAAAAGGCCTGTGCTTTCAAAGCTACTGTAACAGCTGGGCCAATCAAAGCAATTTCACTTCCCTCCCCAAAACTCCTCCACAAAGCCGCTGCCCCGGCCCTGGGATTTTCTGGCCAAACTTGCAGTCCACCCTGGGAATTCTCCACTAAGGCCACAGTGCACAAAGTGCCATTCTAAGAGAAGCCATTTACCAAAGAGGCTTCATTTAACGTGGTAAGCATGGTATAATGGGGCAAACAATGCTGCAGGTGATAAGAAGCCGACATTCCAACTGTCATTTTGGCATTCTTTGATTCCTCCGGAGGAAATTACAAGACTGTGAAGCCAAGAGACACCATGTAGCCGAGCTCTCCTGTTTTGGCATTTCATCGACTCATTCTCTTATTTCTCCAGTTATTTACTTGAACGTACAAGCACCTCAAAAAGTTAAAATGTAAATTTTCCCACGTCTTTCCCTGAGACTGTGGCTCTAGACCCACTAACTGCTAATTCACCGGATACGCCGACTCTCTGGTTTCTTTTTTAACCCTTGCCTCTACTCTTTCTCGCCACTAATCCTTCCTGTCCAGTGCTGTTTTCTTCCCTTTCCCATTTTTTTCAAGGAATTGTTGGGGTGTATCCATCTCAGTTAGTCCAGTTTATGGTTTGAGAACACGTTTATAGTTACTCAAAGCCAGGCTGTGTCAGATGTGTTCACTTGAGAGGCTGTGACCCACCTGCAGAGCTCTGATCTCTCGGGGTAGCGAGGCCGCAGCCTCATCCGAAAGGAAAGGGGATAGCTGTGCGCTCACTGCCTACTGAGTGTGTCTGACACCCCGATAACACCCGCATGCACATGCACAGTCACGGTTATACCCGACCCTGGACCTACACCGAACCCCTCCCAAACCAACACCGCAAACGCAACGCTTGATGGAAAAAAATAAAATCAGAGCGATGAAGCTGAACACACAGAAAATGAAGTTTTTAGATGGCGATGAATGTGTTTAACATAAAAATAAAATAACTATTAACTGCTCCTGATGGACAAACAAGTTCTGCCACAGTTAATAAAATAATTTATAGCTTGGAGTGCTGTGACAGCTCATGTGACATCAGAAAACAAATCAAATTTCTCAAATTAAGGCTTCAGGTTGACAGAGTAGGTGTATACATAAAAAAAAAACAACCTGCTACCTGGTGTATCAGTTTTCCCAATCAGAGAATTCCCAGCACAAAGGACTCATTGAGCAGGGAGAGAGTGGTGGCATTGTCTCCCAAAGGTTAGTTTCCCCCAGTCAGGGACTACACCTTCCTCCAGAAATCCCTCCCCAACATTCTGCTGAGGTTAAGTGGAATGCAGTTGGTGAATTATTTCACCCCTGCGAGCCCCCCCGAGGAAGGCTTCCAACCTCCCCCCGCAAAAAAACCATATAGTATGCTGGACCCAAACTGAGGACAGGGATGGAGATTGGTTGCTAATGTTATGAGTTAGCAGGTGTTCCCATATGAATATAATGCAAATGTAAATGCCGCTTAGCTTTCTAGTTGAAAGCCAGTGCTGGCACCTTGTGCTCCATATTTAAGGTATTTAGTGAAGACTTTCAATATGAATTTTACTCTAAATGTCTCATTTGAATGTTGTAATAAAGTTGATGAAAACAATCTGATGTAAATTTTAGAGCTGAAAAAAAAAAACAACAACCACAATTTATTGATCAACATAATACTACACAATATATTTTTTAATTTATCATGCTAGCTATTTTCTCAAGCCAAAGGATGTCAGTGCTGTAGTAGCTCATCAGGCTCACAATCCATCACCACTCAAGGGTTACTGCCCACAAATCGATAAATGTGACTTTGATAAAAACTTCAGTAAAATCTGACCAACACTGATTCTTCTTCCCAATGGTTTAAACTCAGCTACATTCAATTCAGTTCAGTTTTATTTATATAGCACCAAATTACAACAACAGTCAACTAAAAGCTTAAAATCGTAAGGTAAAATTCCTATAATAATACAGAGAAAACCCCAACAATCATATTACCCACTATGAGCAAGCACTTTGGCGACAGTGGGGAGGAAAAACTCCCTTTTAACAGGAAAAAAACCTCTGGCAGAACCAGGCTCAACCATCTAAAGCAAGATAGTGCACAAGAGATGTGAAAAACAAAGTGCAGTCAGGGTGGAGTAAGGTGGAGGCGAGTGTCAGGGGTGATTTGTGAGAGGAGTGAAAGGGACAGGGTTTTAAGATGGTACCGAAAGCTGCTACAATGTATAGCTTGGAGACAGTAGCACTGCCAAAAAGACAGGAGGCCGAGCTGAAGATGCTCAGGTTTTCACTGGCAGTGACCAAAATGGAAATGATTAAAAACGAGGATGTCAGAGGGACAGCTCAAGTTCAGCACTTTGGAGATAAAGTTAGAGAGGCGAGGCTCAGATAGTTTGGGAGAGAAGAGAGAGTGGATACACTGGACAAATGATGCTAAATATTGAGCTGCCAGGGAGGAGGAAGAGAGGAAGACCTCACAGAAAGTTCATCGATATAGTGAAGAAGCACATGGAGAGGAGGACGCTAGGGATAGGGTTAGATGGTGATGACCCCTAAAGGAAACATCTGAAAGAAGAAGATTGTTTAACTGAATATCTCTGAGTTTTAGACTTTTTTTTTGTACAAAACCTGTTGCTGAAATATGGCCACGAAATGAGAACCGGCGTTCTGGGAATCTATCCTACCTCACGAACCATCCCACCCGTTGTTTCTGCGCATACGCGTAACACAAACCCCAAATTTACATCATTTTTTTTAACCCATTGTGAATATTTCTTATGGTTATGGTTAGGTCGCCGTCAAATTATAATATGGGTAGGACGATTTACCAAAGTAGGACGGTTTCTCAAAACACCGGCTACAAATGATCCTTTCCACCTGGAGAGTGTGTGCCTTTGAAATTTAGTTACATGTTAATTTTCTACCTAGTTTTAGGATGCAGATCACTAAGTTGACAAACTTAAATGATCCCAAAAAAATCACTCAAAAAGTAAAAAAGAAGAAATAAAGCTAATGGCTAATTTTATTTAACGATAAATTCACAATTCACACAGTTTCGTAACGCCAACTTCTACCCACGCAGCTTAGCTGGCCATCAGCACCACTGCATATGCAAAGTGTCGTTTTGAGACTACATATTATTCCTCGTCCACTTCGACTAGTTACTACAGCGTCAGCAGTCAGCCGCAGCTTTGAATTATTATTATTATCCATGAGGAAACTTATTACTATGATTATGTGTGCAGTGAAAAATGTATGTGTGGATGATGCTCCACCTCTCGGGACGCTCCTGCTCTGGACAGTCCTGGTAGTATCTGATGAAGAACCTCTCAGCATCCTCTCTCTCACCATTAGACACGGCACCCCCGTTCAGCACCATTACGGAGGGCAGCCTGAGGGCAGGTGCAGCAGTCGGGTGTTAAAAGTGCTCACTGAGTATTTCGATGATGAAGTTACTGAACAAACGAGCACACAGCTTCAGACTTACTGTGCTAAAAGGAGGCTACGTCTCTCCTCGGTGCTGTAAGACTGCAGTAAAGGGATTCCCTTTGCTTTGACCTCCACCAGTTTGGGAAAGAAATTCAGCCTTTCAATGTCGATCCATTTACTAAGACCTGAATAACAACAACAACAACCATAATAATAATAATAAACATAACGAGTTATAGGGCTATTTGTTCACACCTTGCACTGAATACAGACAGATTAAAAGACTTTTAGGACTCCGACCTGAATTGTTGAGGTTGATGCTACGCAGGTTGGGGAAGAGGTGCTCCAGTGTCTCCTTGGTGTCTCCCACAGAGTCCACGCTGTTATTGGCCAGCACCAGTGTGCTCAAATTGGGGTACAGCAGCCCAAACTTCCTCACTTCTGCCCAGTCCTGCAGCTGGTTATCTGTAATCTGCAGCAGGCGTAGCGACGGGCATGGCGTCTGAGATTCTGACACACTGTTGTAGCCGTTCAGACACAGGAAGAGCTCCTCCAGCCTGGAAGATGAGGTGCAAGGAAACTGGCATTTTTGAGGACATCAAAGATTCTTTGTACAATCTGTGTAATATGCATTAAGGTGCTTTTGATTCTTCAAAAGAATAAAGCAGCTGTTATCGTGTTTCCAATTGTCACCATATGTCCTGAGTTCTCTACCCTGTTTACAGCTAAAGACACTAAAAAGCCCTGAGTACATGGCAAATAATTTCTCTAAGCTGCCAAGTGATGTGGTTTTAATTAAATGCTGTTAAATAGTAAAGCAAATGGATTTGTATGAGGGGAATCAACATAAAGTAAAAAAAATGTGTGTGCAGGGAAGTAATCAGGGTTTAGAAACTAGTGCAGTCACGATTTTTTTCTCTTAATGCCTCATATTTATGGCGCCTTGGCTCCATTTATGAGGATAGAAGGAGTAAAAGGCTTCTGAAGGACCAGGTCCTAAAGTTACAATATAACCAAAACCTGATTCTGAAAACTGTAAAGAATTTTATTTTATAAAATTTCTATATATATTTCTCTCCCTTTGCTCTCAGCGGAGGCGGCCGCATCTTCTCCTGTCTCCTCTCCCTCCCTTATCTTCCTGCTTGGCTTCTCTTGTCTTTGTCTAGTCTCGTCTAACTCTCAGAGACTCTCTTCTGTCTGGTTCTCTAAAAACACAACATCAAGGAATTATGGATTTGATCAACTGGTCTCCATAATCTAAAGCGCCTTGAGGGGACTGTTGTTGTTGTGATTTGGATTTATATAAATAAAATTGGACTGAATTATATTAAACACTATTGACACCCTCTCGACGAGGTACTTGGGCGTGGGGGAGCCTGATCGTCGGAACATTTGCTGCTGGATACACGACAGTCTTTCAGTGGAACGAGCCTGGCAACACTCACATTGGAGGACGTTGAAGACATCTACCTATTCAGAGCCATGATAACAAGGCTCCTGCTGACTGGATCTGGCACAGCCCTGGCTTGTTGACGAAAATTGAAAAGATTTCTTCTTTTGTGGCTAAACCAACCAACCATTACTCCTCATGCGTCAACCCAACCTCCCTAAACATGGCAAGGTGGGGCATGACTTCCTGGAATTCCTGTTGAGTCTGAGTACATATGTGTGCTCAAGATAAAGAAGGAACGCATCACTAATCTGCTCGCTAATGTTTTGAGTGGTCAGAGTGGCACAAAAAACTAAGTGATTCAGTATGACTTAGTAGCTTGTAGAGCCACATTAGCAACAATTATGTGAGGTAATTGTTTTTAAGAGTCATCTCTCACATCACTGGAGGACTACTGGTGCACTCTTCTTTACAACATTGAGGTCTGTGGGCATTCTTTAATACACATCTCCCAACACAGCTTGATTGAGTTCTGGACTTTGACTCCTTTGAAACATCTTCATTGTTTTCTTTTTCAGTCATTCTGTTGTAGTTTTGTCAACTTCAGCAAACCTAAACATTCCTGCCATGTTTGTTTTAGAGTGAAGAAGCCCGGAAACCCTTACTAACAAGTTCAGTTTAAAAAAAAATTGTCTTGTCACGAACTTTCCAATTTTACACACTAATTGAGGGCTGTAGAGTCTGAGATGTAGCTCTTGGGCTTTTATCAGTTTCTCTGAGTATTGCTCAGTCTGGAGTGAATTTGCTCAGACATCCCCTTAGCAGTAAGCTACCAAAACGTCTGCTTTTTCAGAGGTGCTCACATTTGCTTATGATCAGTTAAATGTGTCCCATTAGCAACTGGCTGCTACTTATTCTCATACCTCCCATGGAAGCAGTAGGGGTGTACTTAGTTTTGCACAGGACTGCAGAGAGAATCTCTATATATGCAGACGGTTAGACAAAAATATACAAATTCTCTCATTGCCACAAATAAAAGAACATAAAACCTTTTCCCATGCTTTGTCACTTACTCTGGTGTGTGCTGCGTGAGTGTGTGAACAGTGTCCCAGCTGACTTGTGTGTTAATGAGGACCAGTCGTCGGACCCTGGAAAAAACCTCGGCCATGTTCGGCTCCAGCTGCACGCCGCTTAGCGGGTTCATGCTCAGATTGAGGAAGTCCAGGTGTGGGATGCTGGAAACGATGGTGCCGATCTGGCAAAACCAGGAGCATCAGGAAACAGAACAAAGAAAAAGAAGAAACAAGTTACAGAGCTTTTCAAAACACTTTTACTTTGAAAACCATTATTTTCAGAGCTTGTTGATTAGCTAGATAACTCTAGTACACATAAATAAGCTGTATGATGCGATACAGCGGTTTAAATTCTAGGTAAGTTCCAAGTCATCCATCTTTAAATATAACCCATAGATAGTCTTGAACAGGCATATTTTTAAAGTGTTTCTGTACCGTGTTCACATTTTCCTTCATTCTGTTTAAAAAGCTGATAATTAATCCACATCAGTAGCATCTGGTGAGCTAGCACCTTTGGCTTCTAGATGGCAAATAAAATACTTAATGCTAAACCCATGCGAATGACAGAAGAAGAGATTATTATATTAAATGAATATGTGGTGTATGTATTTATTGGTTCATACAAAAAAATGTATCCAACCCTGCTTATTAATAAATGAGTACTCCAGTTAACCTGAGAGGTACCAGGTGTTCCAGCTGGCACAGCAGACGGGAACTGTGCCTACAGCCCTCATCACGGTATCACTCGGCTGAATAACAAACAGCACTGTGAGAGGGGGATAACAAGGGCTGTGCAACTTTTTTAAGGGGCCTTTGTTTCGTAGTCACGGCTAAATGACAATGCAGCACAACCCAACCTTAAGAACTTAATTATTAACAGTACATATGCAAGCAAACAAAAAGAAAAGAATGAATGATGAATGGAGACTAGATGGAATCAGTGAATAACCATCTAAAAATCGACATGCTTTCCAGTTAACTTACAAACATAAAGTCCAGGGGCACAATCGGCCCGGCAAAGACTCCAAACTGGCCAACTGGATGGCTTTGGAAAATGAGAAGGAGGGCATACATTTTTGGACTTTCAACTGTATTAAGTATAGCTTTTCCTCCTGATAAACCTCCCCCACGGCCATTCGTGCAATGCCAAAGTAATAAAGTAATAAAGTGTGGTTAAACTTCTTATTACTGACAGAAAGGGAAGTTTTACTGGTTCAGCCCGCTCAAGACCAAAGTGGGTTGTTTGTGGCCCACAATGTAAAAGGAGTTTGACATTCCAGGCTTGCATCCTTACTAACAATAAAGAGAGATTAACTTCTATTTTTTTTTTATCTGTATGTGTTGTATTCATTTTTTAATACACCAAAATAACCATCAAAACAAAGACCTTAATCTTATAAACCTGTGACTAGCATGTACTAGTGTCCATTTAGGCCCTTTTAACTGCTGACATGGTAGCATACAGACAGCACTCCAACTAAATTGTCTGATGGCTCTGCTTTTATGAAAAACCTTATTAAGTTCAAATAAAACTCCAAGACACCCACCTCTCCCCAGTCATTCAGCTGATTGTGGGACAGGTCGAGCTCTACCACGTGGGCGCAGGAAGCAGCGATGTCTTGCCTGTTGCCAGCTTTACTGATTCCACTGTCATTCAGAACCAGTGCGCTGGGCAAGAAGAGGCGATCTGCAAACAGGAAACTCGAGTCAGTTCAGACCCTCATTCAGAGCTCAACACTCCAAATAAAGAGGCATATATGCCGGGCTGAACTTATCACAAGTGATACACTGCTCACGTGGCATCATCACAGCCCTGAAATAGCTCACTCTATCATCTCTCACCTTTGACAGGGGATCCTGGAGGCCTGGGCAGAACAACCACTCCTACGCCTTGGCCATAGGGGAAATTCTCAGGGTTATACTTCTCACTGAGGACTTGAACAAAGGTGCGCACCTCATCTTCATCAGAGGACTCCATGGCTCAAGTCCTGAACAGGTATCCATGTAAGAGACCAAAGGGGAAAAAAAGACGCTTTTAAGATTAACATGACAATTACATCAGGACAGTTCAGTGCTGTTACATATGTCTTTTAAAGGATAAAGCTGGAGATATTTTACACTGTTTATCAACAATGTGTATGAAAATCAAGTTTCCTCCCAAAACATATGTGACCCTGCTGAAGTTTTAGGTCTTTAAGTGTCAAAATTGTATTGCTTAATTTACATGTAACCTGCATGTCTAACGTGGTGTTTAGAGAATTCTCAGTGTTGGATTTTTGGGGCTGATGTCTGTTAAGGAATTTCGAATGGGACATACGTTTAGCAGGCGTGGAGATCTAATTCTAAAGTTCTAATCTCACACAGTGTTTTATGGGCACAGTCACCTCCCAGAGTCTACTTTTCCAGATTTTCTTCTTTTTTCCCCTCAATTTGTTTCTATTTCATTTTTCTTTTTATTACTTTTTTTTGCAGATTTTGTAGCTGTTGATAAAAGTCCTGTATAAATAAAGAAAGCCATTGGGATAAGCTTTTCATTTGTTAGCATCTGCTTCTGTTTTCACCTATGCTGACATTCTCCACGAACAAACATACTTTTGGTGCAATGTACTCAAAGCACAGTACAGCTCATCTCTCACAGTGACTGTCCAAAAAATCTTCGGCACTATGAAAATGCTCCTTATACACAGCTCAGAGTGACCATGTGGATTAAATAATTTACCTACAGGAAAGGTCTAATCTGACATCTGAAACTGCATTTGTGAAAGAAGCTGGAGAAGCATAAAGCGCCCTCTACTCTGGACATTTGTCATTCAAAGCCCACATATGCAAAATTAATTGAGTGAGAATTTTTAGAAACATGACAACAGTGGAACCAGGTGAACTAGTTCCACCAACAAAACTATTAGAACTATAGTGGCAGCTTCCCTGAAGCATTTTAGGGTTTCAAGTATTTCGTACACAAAAAAAAATCACCTTTCTATCACCTATAACAGGGGTGGGGGAACTACAGGCCTCAAGGGCCAGTGTCCTGCAGGTTTTAGATATCACCCTGGGTCAGCACACCCAAATCCAATGATTAGTTCATTGCCAGGCCTCTGGAGAACTTCAAGACATATTCAAGAGGTAATTTAGCGATTTAAATCAGCTGTGGGAGTTCCCACCCCTTACCTATAGGTATTAGTGGCCTGTAGCTAACAGGAAGGCCATGTGCAGTGGTGGGCAATTCATTTTCTCCAAAAGTTCACATGAGAATCTGAAAATGTTGAGCAAGGTTTCACCGATAAGTTCAGAAGGAGATGAAATTAAATACTGAGTTCAGCTAATTGGTGCCGCCTTCCACAGCACTCCCAGTTTCTCATGTGGACCCTTGGGGAAAATTGCCTATGCTTGGTGGACGTGCTTTAAGCCAGTTGTCTTTTAAATGGTCACCAGGGGGCGATAGCAGTGGTTCCACAGTCATTGTTCCACCTCAGTAAGCACTTTACTGACAAGTTCACAGATCAATCACTAATTGCTGCTCATATTGAATAAACAAATCAGTTCTACTTTGTAATTGCATGTGATTCGAAAGCTCAAATTAGATTTCTTGAATCTTTGCAGAGCCTGTAGACAAGTGGCTGACACCACGCCGAAATGTAGTCACAACAGAGTTTCATAAGGGTATATAATTATGACGTACCTACGCTGTAGATTTAACACATAAGTATAAACTGAAAGTTTCAGAAGACAGGATTACTCGGGGTATGAACATTGATTAATCACTTGTGATTGCTCCAAATCCTGTTAAGGCCAACCAGTGCCTGTGCATGGCATTATCCCCATAGTGTTGGGTTGTCCTTCATTCAAAGTGCTAAACAAAGGGACACAAATGTGCTACCACTGACTTCCACTTTAACCACCTCAAACTTTAGTCCTGCTCCTCCTGCTGGCTGACACTTCTTGTCTATGTTTTACATTTTTCTGTGCACGTGTTAAAAGATTAAAAAAAAGGTCTAAAAATAACCCACGAACATCACAGAATAACCTACAAGTCACAGACAGCTGAAACGTGAGAGGCATAGCAGCACTTAGGAGAGCAGGTGCACAGCTGTCAGCGAAGCCACCTGTTCCTACTGAAACCCATTTTCTGCTATGATTACAATTTCTGTTGCCATTTTTGCTGTAAAATGATTAATCTGATGAGTAACTGTTTAACTCAATCCAGAGAAAATGTAGCTTTTTCAATGTGTGGATTGGTTTAAAATCCATAGACAAAAAACCCCTCCAGGCAGGCTCAATAACTGGTAATCATACATCACAATAACATACATTCTCGACCCTGCCTGTCCACCTTGCACTCAACAGCTTCACTTTAACCCCGATCAGCCCTATCAGTTTCAGACAAACGGAGTCTGATCATCTTAAACTGAGCCCACCTGAAGTGTGTTTGTCAAAAGACTGAGTGTTTCATCCGGACTCTGTCTGATGTTTCTGTCATAGATCGTTTCTCATTACACAGATCCCACCTGATTCTTACCTCTGATGTAGCAGAGACCAAAGGAAAGATTGTTTTCAACACCACATCAGATCACATGCCTCGGTCCCTGCTGTGAGAAAATGACGAGAAACATAAGCAGGGAAAACTTATTTTTAAGCTTGCAGCCATAAAATAACCAGAATATGTGAAAAAAAATGCAAAGAAAGACAGAGTTGACACCACATCAAAGGTGGTGAAACTTGCATTTATGTGACAAACAAAGGAAAGGTAAGCTGACAGTTGGGTGCTTGAGACGAAAACAACTGTTTATGTGGTATAACTGGGGAGCAGCAAAGCCCTGAAGCCATTCACTGAAATGAAAAACTTCTAATGGACATATGTCATGACTAACCTAAGGTCATTGTTTTGTACAGTTTAAACACACACTTTTAAACCCCTGTTATAATTTGTTACTTTTTTCTGGAATCTTTTTGTTTCAAATGTTTCTTCAGCACCATTTGCTCAATTCGGCGTACACAATGGGCAGGAAGTTAGATTTTGTAATATATAAAAAGTTAAACATTATCAGCTGCTCGCTACTGCTTATAGCGGTGAAGTTCAACCTGCAATGCTACCAAACTGTCAATAAAGATGACGTTTTTCAGAAAATAACAAACAACGAAATGGATTAATGCTACCCGAATTGAACGTCAACCCACAAAGAGTCATAAGAAGGTCAAAAGTCTTACTGTGAACCTTGCACACAGATGCTGATACGCGAAGCTATTTTAAACAGATATATTTTTAACAGGGTCCGGGGAAACGGTGTTACAGTCAGATAACGAGCGTCGTTTCGTGGGGTGGGGGGCTGACTGCTCAGACGGAGGCCTAGCTGTATGATGTCGCTAGCTTAAGGATAATAAACTGGAAGCTGAGATTGTAACAGTGCAACCTGGTGTGTTTGAACATTTTAGCACAGCACGAGCCAACGACACTACTGCTTACCTAAGCGTGCAACACGTTGGCTGTAAATTCAAATCTGTAAAAACATTTCTTTGAGTGTTGGAACAAACTCACTATCTGGGCCTCCAAACTTAGCGACACAGGTCACTGCGCGTGCTCCATTTGGCACCTGATACGGTACATTTTTGAGAGTGCAGAACTCACCTTTAGCAGAACCCCCCTCTGCGGTCGGGTTGTTTTTGTTGTTCTTCGGTTAGTTGACAGCTTAAACCACGCCCACTCTACCGGAAGTTACGTAGTTTAAATGTCTGGTTTTTTTCCTCTCGTTTTTCTTTAAAACGGAAAGGAGCTAAGAATACATGCTAAGAATACATGCTAAGTATTAACTTATTATTATTATTATTATTATTATTATTATTATTTTTTATTTTTAGCGAGTCTTTTTTTACGATTTTTTTGTAGCTGGTTACTTTAACGGACAATTTTTAAAATGTAGTTTTTTAAAAGCTGAGTTCAGTTACTCCCACGCTTGGTTATAGCCCGACCTTGTTGAATCAAGGAAGCCTATAGGCTACAGCCAGTTTGACAAAGTTGCCTCTCTGAAAGGGTAACAGATCCATTTCTAAGGCTTTGGACACCAGTGAACCACTGTGAGAGCCCCAAAAGCTGATTCTGTTCATCTGGACGTCCAGATGAACAGAACCAACTTTTGGGGATTTACTTATCTGGATGACTGAGCATGCATCAAGACACTATGAGAGCCATTATTCACAAATGGAGAAAAGTTGAAACACTGACGAACCTGGCCTAATCAAAGTCTGCACTTAAATCCTTTTAAGATGCATTGAGATGACATTTAACAGGCCGTTCAAGCTTGAAAAATCTCCAGTGTAGCTGAATTAAAACAATTCTGCAAAGAAGAGTGGGCGAAAATTCCTCTACAGCGATGATAAAGACTCATTGCAATTTATCACATATGGTTATTTGCAGTTCTTGCTGCCAAGGGTGGCACATTTAGCAGGCTTTTTCACACAGGGCTAGGTTTGGATAATTTTTCTTTCCTTGAATGAATGAAATGTTGAAATGTTTTTTTATGGTCTAAAACATTTAAACGTGACAGAAATGCAAAAAAAAAAAAAAGCCCAATAATTGATTAGGTATTGGGCAAATACTCTGATCACTGTATGTATAAAATATATTTTATAAAACATTTATATACAGTCTGCGGTGTATACCAATGCTTTAACACTCATGTAGTTTAAAAAAACAACAACACGTTTTTAATGATGTGCATAAAGTGATGGGAACTAACACACGTTTATCACATAAAATAAATTATTTACTATGACTGTACATTAACGACATGTGTATGTTAGATTTAAGTTCACTTATAAAGCCAGAATAGTTTTGATTTATGATTACTGTACAACATTGCTTACATTTTTTGCCTGCACAGCAATAACTCCTAATAAAGTTCATGCCATTAACTGGCATTTAATCAAACTAGTTTTCAGTTCTCTAACTTTATATACCTGGCATGTTTGTGTCTTTTAGTGAGTTCATTTTTTTCTTCGTTTAGAGTATCACCTGCAACATGAATATGTCAGTGTCACTGGAGTTAACAGGCCTACATAATGTTGCCACCAGATGGCAGCCATGAAGTTTTGTGGGCTCCTGTGGAAGAGAGAAGTTTATGAGTTGTGTGAAGCCAGCAGGGTATCAGTTCACCCTCAGCTCCTTTTCTAATACAGACCCAAAATATATGTGACAATGAGGCTCATGCATGAAAACATTAACATTAAAAAGCAGTGGTTGAAGATGTGTTTAGGTCCTCAAGACACAGCACCAATGCAAGAATTTGAAAATGCTCCATGCAGGTGAAAGCCCTGCATTTAGAACATCAGGCCATTACAAGGTAAATCTACTTTTCTGTCAACATCTAAAGTACTCATTCTGCAGGAAAACTGAAAAAAATGTATGACTATGCAATGTAACGCTATTAGATTTACACAGTGCAGCACAATGCTCCACTGGGTGAGTGGGGCCTTTATGGGCCTGACTTTCCTCTCTGTGCCTCTGTCGGTTAATTTTCTTCAGTTTTCCTCACACAGTTCAAAAACATGCATTTTAAGCTGAGTGCATTTGAGTGTGCCTGTCCCTACAAGATTGAATTTTATCATCATGCCACATGACAGCTTTAAAAAAATTAACAATACAGCAGATGATGGGATATCCTTACTTAAGAAAAAAAAAGGCAAATGGATGAATAAGTCATCACAGTGATCGCTATCGGTCATTGATTATCGACAGAAGGCTCTTACTGAGCTCTCATATTTTTCTTTTGCTATTTTACTACTAAAAGCAGCAAACTGTGTATAGACATTTTAGCCTTTTTTCTTTCATAACTGTACCAACCCATTTCAATAATAAGTTTGTTTTTGGCCTGAAAGTAGAGCTTTTAATTGATCAAAAACAAAAAGGTACATCATTTAAAAAAAGTTATGCGCTATTTCACTATAAGTTTGCCAATAATGTTTAGTCTTGAGCTCTGTGTTATACCAGCTCTGTGAGACCAAAGCAGGCTATCAGCCATCTGGAGGAGTCTTTGGCCCCCAGAAGATCCTCAGCAATAAGAAAATTGAAGATTTTAATCTGATTCATCAGCGCATATGCAGCAATTTAGGACTGAAAGGTCGAAATGTACCTGGTTTTACGTGCTGTGTGTATTTTAGTTTGGTAAATATTAAATAAATAAATAAAACACTTGGTACAAAGATTTAGTTTTAATTGATATTTAACTTTGTCTCAGTGGAGACTGTGGCTCCCTCACATTGATCTGGACTAAAATAACACTTCAACTCATGAAGCTTTATTTAGTCATTTATGGATTTACTCAGGAGGATGTTGACTTTTCCAACTCTATAAATGTTCTCTCACTGTCAGTCTTCTGCCTTTTTCCATATAATTGTAATAACTTTAACTATAAAATCAAACACCTGCTAACATAGCCCCTTCACCTTTAGATTACTTCCGAGACCACCGTGCTTCTAAATGGATAAAAAAAAATCTGTGGTGTTATCTCTTTCTGCCAGGAGCTGTTGTGCACGAATCTGTCCAAAGTCCACCCATGGCTCAAATAATGCGACTGTGCCACACCGCCAATGAGTTACAGAGATATCCAAAAGTTTTGTTGACCCACAGAGTAGTGAGCGAGCCGTCTGTCTACCGAGAGCAGCTGTGGGAGTTGCACAACAGCAGACAAAAAGCAGCCAACAAACATAGCGTCCCTCTCTCTCCGTCTCTCTTTAGTTTGCCACATTTGTGCTACATTCAGATCATAACCCTGGGGTTTACATCATATCTCCCAACAGTAAATATTTCATACA